TTTTTTCAGGATGGTTATCATCTTCTCTTAGTATATTTTAAACTCATTAAGAAAAATATGGAAAAGAATGTTTTAAAGCAACTTAATTGGATTTAGTTATAGCTGACCCTCCCAGCAATATTTTGATCTGAATTACTCTGCTATCTTTGTAACTAATAAATCTATATAGCAAATACATATTAGAAGGTAAGTTATAGAAATTCATCTTCAAAATGGTCTTTCTCTAGTGACTTATAAAAGGTGTACGCAATTAGACATCTAGTTCTCCAAAAATGTACCAAAGAAAAGCAGCCACAAAGAATTTCGAGCTGAACGTGATTTTCCTCACTCATTGCTCTATTCCTAAGAGACCAAGAGTAAGTCTCAGCCAGGTACTTGAGCTCTGCATTATTTCAGTGAAGAATGAGGAGATGACAGCAGTGATGATAAGAGTTGCTAAATGACAGGCATGATGACACAAAACACTTCTACAGAGAAAAATGATGTGGCTTTAGAATGTCCATTCCCTGGAAGACTAAAGTTGGGGCTACTTTCAGGATCTGAAGACAGGAAATGCAGTTTTGCCTTGATAGGTTTCAGGATTCCCTGTGTATAATATAATCCATGGATGCTTAAGTTTCTCTTTCAAAAAGATATAGTATTTCCATGCAACCTATCCACATTTTATTATATACTTTAAATCCTCTCTAGATTACTCTTAATGCCTAATACAATATAATTGCTGTTTAAATAACTGTACTTTATTACTGAGACAATAAGAAAATATGTCTACATGTTGAATGCTATTGAGTGTAGATATGCTTTTTTAAAAATATCTTCAATCCATTGTTGCTTGAATCCATGGACACAGAGGAAGATAAGGATAGAGGGGGCAATGGTATTGCATTGCCTGTAGTAGCTACTCCTGGACAGTTCCCGTGGCCTGCTATCCTTTCCTCGGTCTGTCTAGCACACACCTGCTTAGAACTTGCAGCTGTAGCACATGGGATGCTCTGACATCAGCCTTATTTCTCCAGTTGCTCACTGGACATCTGCATCAGTATTACAACCATCTTGAATCATGTCCCCAGCCCATGTACATTAACATGCTTGCATGTATGTGCTCAACTGTCTGTGTAGGTATGCACTCCATTATACACACATCATTCATTTCCATGGCTGTGTTGTTATGTACTATACATATATGTGCAGATATATATCTCAAGTACATAGCTGCATGTATGAGCAAGAACTAGAAAATTGTCTGGTAAAATATATCAGGATGTAGCATGTTGACTGTCCAAATCATTTGATAAATATATTCGATGAATGATGCAGTGGATCAGTGATATTGTACACACATCTGTAATCCAAGCACTCTAGGAGGCTGAGGTAGAAGGATCACAAATTTAAACCTATCCCAGAAAGTTTAGCAATTTCAAAATAAGTAACCAGGGCTTGAGGATATAGCTCAGTACAAAAGCCTGGCTTTAGCCCCAATCATGGAAAAAATACATCTAGATTGTCTAATGTAAAAGATGGTACTGAATAAATAGTACGAAAGATAAAAGTTGTATTAGATCAGACAGATAAAAATCATTTATTCATATTTAGGGAAAGACATTAAATTTTTAAAGGAACCTAAAAAGAGAATGTTGTCATCTTATGCACGTTGATTTTAAAAAATGGCAGTAGAAGTTTTGAAGGAAGGCTGAGTTCCCATGCTCTGATGGGGTTGGTTTTAATGCACACGTAAGTTGCTAGCTTCTGTAGGAAGCTCAGTCTTCCAGCACCGTAAGTTTACTCCTCCTTAGAAGTTACAAACTAGTTTTTTAAAAAAGTTTATATGCTTCAAGTGCAATGATTATAAAGTACCTGCTTTGAGGTCTCATGTTTTGAAATCTGTTATGTAAAATAGTCATTTGCTTGCTAGAACATTCATAGTTGTAGTTTTTGTTGGTTCTCTACGTGAAAATTAAATCATGTAAATATTTTGACAAAGAAGGAAAATGCCAAAGGAATGGAATTTCAGTTAAAAGGAAGTCACTGAAAAGACTAAGTATAAAATATCTATTTTATTGTATTATAAGAATGGATTTTAAACATGTTGTGATCAATAACATGAAGATACAAATTTTTTTTGAATAAAGTAAGTTCAGAAGTAGAAGAGTAGATTATGTATATAAGTTTAGGAAATTATTTTAAAAGAAACTTTCGAATCCCATAAATATATTCTATGAACAAATGTTTCAATTCTATGAACAGGGCCGGGGAGGTAGCTCAGTAGAATAAGCACTTGCCTGGCAAGCACAAGGGCCTGAGTTCAATCCCTGGTTCCCCCCCAAAAAAATCTATGAACTAATGTTTCCATTCATACATAGCCTAATTCAAATTCCACAGGGTTGCACTGTCAAAATATTGGTAGGGATGTGATAGGTACTGCCTGAAATACAATGACTGAGCAAGATAATTGCTAGATTTGTTCTCATAGGTGATAATCCATAAGAACGGCCAAATTAGTCACACACATAGTTTGACAAATTGTAGTATGTCATGATAGATAAAAGAAAGGAACTTGAAAGGTTAAATAAGAATACAGGGGTGATAGGAATAATGGTCTTTGGTTCTGTTTTAGAAAATCCCAAAGGAAGGGAGATATTCCTACAGCAAGGTGGCATCCTCTTACTTTCCAGGATGAGTCACCTTGAATGGTTTCAACACAGAGTTTATGTGGAATTCCTAATTGTACTACACAACTCTGGTGACTTTACAGGCCAACTTTGATTGTTCTTTATAATCAGACAAATATGACATTTTGTTAGTGTACATCGTAATGTGAAATAGAGTCAGACAATGAAAATGAAATCTATTAATTCTTAGAACTCATGTTTGTTAGATCAAGCCAGATGACACAGGTTTTAATAAGATGTGGAGAGGTGACTTATATTAGTAGAAACAACATGAATTTCTGTTTCAGATGGAATTGTCTTTTAATATTAAATCTCCTGTTTTCCCTGGGGCTAAGGGCAAATTATTCACATCCTTGTTACCACTACCACCACCACTATCTTAGGCATCAAGCTTTTGTTCTCTCATCTGTAAAGTGGAAATCTCCTGTTGGTATTTGGGAACGGGTGTATAGTAGTCATTATATAAATGGTAACCATTTTATCATCAAGGACATAATCTATGACCATGATGAAGCTTCTCATGACACTTTGTCACATACCAGTAATTGCTAATATCAATTCACAGGGAAGGTCCCTGGAAGTCAGTAAAAATATGTACTTTACCTTAGATTAAACACACACAATATGAATGGTGGTGACACAGTTTCAAGTTACCTTGGTTTGGTACATAATGTGTACATAATTTTAAATGTACACTTTGGGTATCATGCATGGACTGGGCTTGATAGTTTATGATATAGACAAAATCAAACATGTATACGTGAAAAATTTTGGTTATATTGTCCATAAATAATTTTTACCTTGATAAATAGGTTCTGTTCTCTACTTCATTTAGATTAATTTGTCTTATTTTTCTCTCTCAAATATTCTGAAATCCTTTCACTGTTCAGTACACTCCAATGTTTTGCAAAGAACATGTTAAGGGTGAATTGATAATCGAATGGCACTTTTTAGGATTTTAGTTCCTAAAAATAGATTTGTCCCATTCCTGATTCGAAATATCAGAGTTATTTCCTTTTCTTGCAAAGAGTTAGCTAGTCCAGGTACTGTGCTTTGAAGGAACAATAGCTTTTCTTGGCAATGGGCAGTGAGACCACCAATCAGCAGTTTGAAGAAAATTAAGTAGTTAGGCTCCTTTTTTGGAGGAAGTGAGATTTGCACTCACACCTTCTAATGCCCAGAGTTAGGCTTAATGTTACAGACACTTTGGAGCAACGCATCTTTCTCTCACTGGTAGTCATTGTAAGATCCGGGGAAATCATGTCTCTTAAAAGCCTGTGCTCAATACTAATAAATGACAAAACACATGATAGTGCAGTATAAGATTACAGTGATGAACGTTCAGGGCTTCCCTGCTCTCCTGGGCTGAGCAAGAACAGGTGCAAATATAGTGTAGAAAGGAAATAGTGGCATGAAGACACGTACTCCTAGCAGCATGGGGAGGCTCCACAGTAGGATCAGGAGGGAGAGCAACACTGGTTAATCAGGAGCCACTCCATGGGGAAGATTGCTCGGGCCCTGACTGATGCCTGACATTGATTAATCAATACTCTATCCCAGTGTTTAACAAGTGTTCCATCCAAAAAGTCTTCTGTAATATTTAACTTCACTTCCTTCAGCTTCAATTCATACACATTTCTTTTGTTCTCTCTTCAAGAACCCTAGACAGCAGTCAGTAACGAATCACTTCATATTCATAAATCTAACACGACTTTTTTTTCTGTCATGCTTCAGTCTTTTCTGGGGTAAGGAAAAACAAACAGTAAAAACGTTTAATTTAGTCATGGCTTAAAAGGCCTATTAAGTTTGACTGCTTACTATATAATGAGTTTTGATACTGTGCTTTTAAGTGTTTACTCTTGGAAAAAAACTTCATTTTGACAGTGATATGGAAAGCATTATTTGATTTCCATTTCACAAAAGAATTTAGATCCAAAAGCCAAACAGAGTCCTGTAAAGTAAAAGTTAATAAAACAAATAATAATTAACATTATTGATATTACTGAAGCTAAGATTAGTATGTATATGCATAAATGATACTAACAAATGATATCTCCCATTGCATTATACATTTTTGGAAGATAGAAAATTACTGTCTGTATTTCTATGCTATAGTATTATGATGTAACTGAAGCAAATATTTTTAACCTCGGTGTGTTTCCCAGAGACCTCTATTTTCTTTTCTCTGCACCAAAAGCTACATTTTTGCCCCTCTGTACTATGCAGAAATTGATCTGCAATACATGTGGAGTCTCCAAGGGTATATTTAAATTTAGTAATTTGATTGCTAACTGTGAAGTTAATCTGCACTGTATGGGTTCTTTTCCCCAGGAAACTGAAGTAGCAGTTGAAGCTAAACAACCGGATGTGGAAAAGATTTTGTCTAAAGGGCAGCATTTGTACAAGGAAAAACCAGCCACTCAGCCAGTGAAGGTAATGAAGCAACCTCTAGCAATATTCATTACCTCATAATGGGTTATGCTTCCCCTGCTGTCCATTTGCCATTGACGTGGTCTATTTATAATCAATGAAATAAGTTGTAAGGAAATATTGGTCATAATGCAATAACAGAGGCAAAGCTGTCTTTTTGATCAACATATCCTATTTATATATTGTGATCTTAAGGCTATTAACAAGTCATTGCATTAGAGGAGTCATTTCTGTCCTGGTGTGCTGCCATCAATACAAAAAGGAGTCCCACCTTCAAGGTAGATTAAATTCTTTGGGGCTTTATTGCTTTGCTTGCCAGCCTTGATGCTTTCCATATTGTTTGGCTTAATTCAAATCAAGCTACTGCATCATACTGTCTGTCTCCAACAGCTGTAAAGAATCACAATATGGTCTGTGACCTTTCCTTTCTTGTTCTTTCTTATGAAAAAGGAAAATTGTCACTTGGGTTTCAGTATTTTATTGGGTCAAGAATTTTTAGTGAAATGTCATGTAATTGCTTCTATCTTTGGTAGAAACCTAGCATGAGTGAAAGAAAGTGTTCCATGCCTTTCTTTTCTCTGGGTGTATTTTGCAGTCTAGGGCACATTTGTTCACAGGCTACTTCATGGGGAAAGATGGAAAGCCTGGTTAGTTTTGAAAAAAAAAAACAGCTAATCAATGGCTTCCATTTGCAAATGAGTGTCCAGTGATAAATAGACATTAGGCATAAGTTACCTTATTCTCTGTACCTGATCAAAATTACAATGGTTCCCATTATGATGAAGGTTCCTGGGAGCCTGTGGTGGTGGCTATTTATTGATCAGTCTTGATTTCTCAGGTAATGCTGCAGGCTGAGATTTAGTGAACCTCACCCTCATGTTTAAAACTGCTCTAAAACAGTGCAGGTCAATAACCTCATTACACAGAGCCAGTTTGTCCTTGCATACAACATTGCTAGGACTCTGATTCTATCTCTAAGGTCAGTGCTTCGTTTCTGTTGTGCTTGGCCCAAGCTTCATTTCTACAGAATTGTTTATTTCTCCTATAGTTTACAAGGGACTTTTCCTTGGGCAAATTTAAAAGTCTGGGCCTGGACATAGGGTCTGAACACTAGATGCTAAAAGCCTCAGGTTTCTCTGTAGATAGTAACATACATTTATTCAGGAATACATTTGTCTCCACTCCTGAAATCCAGAAACATAGCTTGCATCAAAGCTCAAGCTCATTACAATCATCTTGATAAACTAACAGTATGTTCAGTGTTCAGATTGTAGTAAGAGACAGTCGTGAAATATACATTTCAGCGTATCCACTGATTCTTTAAAGAAACCAAATTCCCAGAGTGGTTACCAGAATATCACTCACTGTAGCAAGTCACGAAATGAGCAAATGGACCACTGCATATATATATTTGGTACTGGGAACTGAACTCAGAACTTCAAGGTTTCCAGGCAGGTGCTGTGATACTGCTATATCCCAGACCCAACCAATTGTAACAATTACCAAAATGCACAAATTTATACAAATTTGGCCTTAATTTTTGCCTTTAGTTAAAAAAATAGAAAGGGGCTAAGGAAATAGCTCGGCAGTCTAAGTGCCTGCCTGGCAAGTGTAGGGACTTAAGTTTGATTTCCAATACTGCATGCTGGGTCAGCCCCAGAGCCCAAGGCACACCATGCCAGCTACAAAAACCAAATGTGCTGACACACACCTGAAATCCTAGAACTGGGGAGGCTGAGACAGGAGGATTGCTACTAGTCTGAGCTGTGTAGCGAGGCCCTGTACCAAATAAATACTTTTTTTTTTTTTGCGGTACCAGGGATGGAATTCAAAAATACATTTTTTAAAACTAAAAAAAAAAACCAGAGAAGAAAATTCATAATTGAAATCAGAAACTAATTTTGTTTTCATTAGCTATAAAACAACCCAAGCAGTTGGTGGTAACTTGGATCATTGTGAGGTCAAAGAGGGAATCCGTCTAGTCAGAGAATACTGACTTTCTGCTATAAATTTGTAATATTAAAGGAGAATTACTGTTCTGAAATAAAAAGAAGAATAAGGATATATCACTTTTCTCTTTCATATCTCTTAAGCCCATTTTGTTATGACCAGGGGCCTTTTTTTACTATTTTAATCTTTATTAAGTTCATTTGGCAAAAGTACAACACACATGAAGCCTCATTTCTGTTCTACCATTTCTCTCCTGAGTTTGGAGAAAAATCAACCCTTCTGGTTGATAAGACAAAAGGGTGAGATGATTTGAGAGCCAAAGATTGTGTAGAAATAATTGACCCGTAACTTCATTATCTTTATTTTCTGGTTCTGGGAATGGAACCTATGGCCTCACATGTGGTAACGAAATGCTCTGCCAGTGAACTAATTCTCCTGCCCCACAACTTTTGATAAGCACCCTGACCTTGGAAATACCTGAAGATTATCGGGGGCTTGTCACAGCCTGAAACACTAGAGGCTCAGAAAAATGACCTCACGGCGCAGAACATGGCGCTCAACAACATAAGGCAGAAAGCTGTGAGGGCAGCTGTTAAAATCTCTGCATGGATCAGAAGCTTCTTTTTTAAAGGTTAAGGACAATTTTTGAAGGATGATCCAATGCTCTTATAGTACATGAACAAAGCCTTTTTCAACACTGAATCCATATACTAAAAATTTTCAGTCATGCTATTTCTAACACCTCTTCCTTAAACTCTGAGCTCTCAGCCCTTAATAGAAAGGGAAATGGCTCTGAGCAGACTATAGTATGTTGTCATAAGAATATTTGTTACTGTTTTTTACTAGCAGGGAGAGAAACATTTAGAAACTATGACCATTATGAAGAAAGAAGTGATATTCTTAAAAAAGAAAATGAGAATTCTCTTGATATGCACATCAGATCCAGTATTTTAGTGGATAAATACAATGTTGTCCACTTGCAAACATTCTTCTTCTTTAAATGGATTTAGTACAAGTTCTACAGGATCTCACTATGTAGATCAGCCTCAGTGATTCCTCCTGTTTTAAGCTTCCCAAGTGGTGGGATTACAGGTCCATGCCACCACGCCTAGTCTCAGTAACCATCTCAGTGCACCCCAGGGTCAGCATAGCACCACATTCTAATGAAGGCCACAACAGACAATAGGGCTGTTTCTTGGAAATTGATGGTCTGTCTCTCCACATTCTGACTCAGACAGCCAGTCTGGCTCCTGCGTTCAGCTCTCAAACACAGTTCTGACCAGTAGTTAGCCTCATCCCTCTTCAGTTTCTTTGCTTTTTCTTTTCTTTCTTCTTTGACTTCTCCAGTATTTCTTTACTTTCCCAAGATGGTACATTTTTGTCTCTTTTTGAAAAAATTCCTGTCTAATCAACTTGTTCTCTTTGAGGATTTCCTATTAAAATTGAAAAATCACATCATGGGACTGTTCTAAGGACATTAATACAATACTAGATCTACGGTACAAAATTACCTCAACAATCTTACAGTATGATTAAATAAGTAGCTTTCTCTCTCTCCCTTCCTCCCACCCTCCCTCTCTTCTTTCCTCTCCCTACATCTCTCTCCCTCACCTCTCTTCCCCCAGCACACACACACACACACACACACACACACAAACACACACTTTTATATCATTTCATTCGTATATTTTTTTCCTGTTAATCTCAAATAGCATCTTTATTTTTCTTATATATTAATACAGGGCCTACAGGGTCTCACTACGTAAATCAGACTTGTAGTGATTCTCCTGTTTTCAGCCTCCCAAGCCATCTCAGCGTGCCCTGGGGGCAGGACAGGCACAGTATGCGGAAGATCAAAACCCGGCTGCTGCACTCTGCCTAAGCAGGCGCTTTAGTCCACTGAGCTCTCTGGTCAGCTCTTCAAATAGCATCTTTCAAGTTAGATGAATTGTTTAAATTTTTGCTAAAAGTTTCCCTTTGGTAATTATATTTTATGATAAGGTACACTGATTGGCTCAATTTTGCTATGTTCCATTCTCTAGGGGATAATACCTGGGTTTTACATAATAATACATGCAACGTTGAAAAAGTGACAAAACAACTAACTCCATTGACAATAATATCAACAATCCCATAAGAAATAAACTATTTCTTCTTTCTATTTAAGCATTTAGATGCCATTTTTTCTGTTTATACTTAACTTTCTGTTAAAATATTAAAAACTTATGTCTTTTAAAATTATATCACCTTCCATTTTTTAGAAATGAGAGCATGGGGGGGGCAGATAGCTCAATGGATGAAAGCACCTGCTTAAGGCAGACACAGGGACCAGGGTTTGATCACCCGGCATGCCCGTGGCGCACTGAGAAGGGAACGAGACTGTGTGTGGTGGCACATACCTGTAATCCCAGTGCTTGGGAGGCTGAAAGCAGGAAGATCACTACGAGTCAGATCTGTGTAGTGAGACTTTGTAGACCTTGCAAGTAAATATACAAGAAAGAAAGAAATGAGAGCATTAATAGAATTTTAAATGTTTTTGTTATTTGCTGAAGTGATAAGATGAAGCCAGGTGTTTTTACTTGTTAGCTTTTTGTTATCAAAAGAAATCTTGCTTAGATGATCTTTGTAATATATTTTACTACTTATTTTGAATTAATTTTACATATAACAATAAATGTAAGGTGTAAGGAATCATATGCATCTGGATAAAGGGCTCTATCCTGAACTTTAACACAAAATAATTATTGTAGACAAATGGTCAAGAGGACAATTACAATCTTCCAGGCATCATTTCCTCAGATGTAAGCTGCAAAATGACAGCATCATTAGTCATTTTCAATTACAGTCAATCATAACCAGGGATGTTTCATTTTCCCTGCTGTTTTGTTGTTAATTAACTAGATTAAATTGGGTCTTTTTTTATCCCAACAAGTTTGTTTTTTTGCCAATATCTACAGCTTAACATTTCCAAGAACTTCCTAAGGGTTTATTTTTTTGTCTACTAATTTTCAATATATTCCAACAGATGTGTGTCTGAAGGTTTATATATAACG